CACGTTTCGGAACACACAAGAAAATACGACGAAGTGAACCTATGATTCACGAACATGCGCAGTGGATAGTCAGACAACCGTCAAAATTACATACACACATGTAATCTTGACACACACGTATCTAATTTTGACAGCTGTCTGACCATCTATTTCGCATGTTCGTGAATCATAATTTCGCTTCGTCGTATTTCTCGTGTGTTCTGAAGTATGTAAGATAAAAACTGTTGCAATCGTCCTGTGACCGTATCTTTCAAACGAGATCCACAAAATGATCGCGGAAGCCTCTCTGTGTTCGACGCTTCCCGTATGGCGATTTACACGAGAGCTCGATCGTCGCACGCACGAGCCACGTGAGTAACGTCCGTCCGGGAGTGCGCTCTCGTAAAAATGTGTAAAGTCGACTTTATAAAAATTTCGCGAACGGCACTGTGCACGTAATGGTCGTAAAGAACGCGAAACGGTACGCGAAATTTGCTTTCTTCTCTCCTACGACCGATATGAATCCCCTCCTCGAGGGAAGACCGACTTCTGATCCGTCCGAAGGGTCCGAAATCGCAGTCGAAATCAATGCCCGGAGTGTGAGGTGTCGTGTCGTCGTTGAATGCAGTTAGGCGATGAAACGTACGCTCGAAGGGGATGAGAGGAAGGACCGGGTGAAGACCCCCCGATGATGGGGTTGTCGTGTGGTTGATTATTATTATCGAGCTGGCTGCTTTTCCCGTCATTCGGCGGGATCTCACGCGTTTGTTATATACGAACGCAAGTCACGAACGCGCGTGGTATACACCCACGTCACTCAATAACATCCGCCGAATATCTCGATAAACTCAGTATCGCGCTAATAGTCACGGGGGAAGGAAGGCGGTGGGGGATATTATACGGTGGAGATGACCTGATCGAGCGCTGATATATCCGACATCGATCGCGGGAGAGTTCCGATATCCGTGATAAGTGTCCAGCCTCTTTGGGGGTGTCTCCTCGCGCTATCCTGAAAGTTTACTTGACAATTTCCCGAGTTTCCACTTGGCCGGCTATCTTTACTCGACGGAACGACTTGGAGCAACGCGTGATTAATCGTCGGCTGCGGCTCGACTGGATTCAGCCGCGAATCCTTCGAGCTGCGACACTTAAGTCGTGGAATCGCGTTGATCGGCTCGACGAATACGTCGCACTACCGGCATTCGCGTCTTAATTGATTCGAGAGCAACCGAGTCGATTTTCGAGCATCTCGAAATTTTCTATTAACAATTCTCCCTTGTGTTTGAATAAACTAAAACTAAAGTGTGACATGTTGTTGGTTAGAATGAATTTTCCGCGGCTTTACGATGTATTGTTTCTGCGGAATGAAAGCAATTTTTAAATTAATAAAATGATCGAAGTCGACCGGAGAATAATGGGAACCACGTTCAAAGCTAGTTTGGCGTACAGCAACGAGTCCCTGTTATTGCATAATCATACGCGTAATTGTCACGTTGAAACAATTAGAAGTTTATCGCTGACAGCAATTTAGGTTCTAAATGGCAAGATAATGCCGGTTGCCGAACTGTAAATGGTATGTTTAGCATATGCGCGTTATCACGCGTTGCTCGTAGATTGTCCATGTCCCGTCGGTGATTGTGATTGAAATACGCCGGATACACACATACACACACGCTAATCGCTCACGATACATCTGCGTATAAATTTAGTACAATAATGTAGATAATAATTGTCTAAGTAAGGCTGATTAAACGCACTCCCCATCCCTTGGCGATAACGAGCGATGTGAGAGCCCTCTTCTCTCCATTTGTTTCTCCTCATTTCCCCCCCCCCCCCCCCC